ACGTCAACTACTACTACTACTACTACTACTATTACTACTACTACTACTACTACTACTACTACTGCTACTGCTACTGCTACTGCTACTGCTACTGCTACTGCTACTGCTACTGCTACTACTGCTATTGCTACTGCTACTACTGCCGCTGCCGCTGCCACTACTACTACTGCTCCTCCTGTTGCTGCTGCTGCTGCTACTGCTACTATTACTCCTACCCTTACTACGACTACGACGACTGGTACCACTACTACTTACTAACCATTTTTCTACGAACTACTTTCTACTTGCTATTCACTACGCATTATCAACTACTAACTACCGCTGCCATGATGAGGCTACCTTGTGTGGTTCATTTGCGGGTGAGAGAGCGGGTCCCCAGGCGATAGCAACGCACGAAACGAGACCCTATGAATTAAAAACGGACGGTTGCTAGAGAACTACGGAAAGGAATCGTTTGTCAAATCGTTTGTGCATTTTTAGTCGCAGTGCCGTGAGCAGGCCTTCGGTGACCTGCCGAACGCCGTGCCGGAGGTGTTCGAGGAGGTCGTGCCACCTCCACCTCCACCTCCGCCACAGACAGAGGAGACGCTTCTGAACCAAAATCTTCGTGTATGACCTTTGTGACAATCGCCTGTACGCAGACTCAGTGTTTGACAGCCGTATCGTGAGCTTCAATGACCATTCAGTACGCCAGTGACAGGGAGCAGCTGGGCATCAGTCGGCCATGCATGGTGCCTCCAGGAGCATACGTTGGAGCACCTGTCTCAGGAGAATTCTCTGAAGGAGCGGTGCTAGCTTGCAAACTGTAGCACGAGCCCATTCGGCCCAACACTCCAAAAGCTGCTAGAAACCTGCGGGCAGCTCTCTGCGAAATCTGTCTGCCAGCTAGAAATGGCTACTTTGGTGTGTCTCATCTCGCATCCTATGTCTCGTGCATGTATCGCGGTGGCTCGTGGTCCCCGTGCCTGCCGAACAGCAAGACTACACGGCAAAAGATGTTCAGCTTCTGTTGGTGCGAGACACAGTCAGGAGTTGGGACTGGTTCGCCGGGACTTCGGCGACAACGATGATCATCTGTCAGATGATGATGTGCGCCTCAGCTGGATTTGGAGGAACGCAGCCTCGCCCAAAGCTCCTGCCTCTCCGACAGTTAGTTCTGGGGGTGCAAGCTAAGCCAGATCCGCTGTAGGAACCCTTGGCTGCCTTGGCTGAAAAAATATAAAAAAATCTGGGAAACCTGAATTTCATGATCCCTTGGACGGTTGAGCTCGGGTTCGTTTGGTTTGAGGGTGCTGGGCTGAGGTGACATTTACAGACTAAAAAGCTAGCTGTGACTAAGGACTAGAACAGGTTTGTGGGTGTAATCTGAGAGATTGAGTGGGGGTCTTTTCGCCGGCCACCTTGGCGCTGAAGTCACTGTGGCTGTTGCAGCAAGCATCATCACTACCACCATCGCAGCAGCACTATCTCAGCAACCACAACATGAAGATAGACGAAGTATATAGCCAAGCTAGAACGGGCATGCAGAATGCGACAGTTATACTTGCAACCACCATGGGCACCGGGCACCACTGCACAGCACCGCCATCACTGCATACCATCAGTGAACATATTATGACAACATACATGGCACAAGAACACGCCAAACGATGGGCCTCATGGCTGCAGAGTGCAAATCGTTGAGCTCCGTGGCTGTAGAAAACGCAGTTTCTGGCAATAGGATCTGCGAGTGCAATGTAACGGCTGACACGACAGTCGGAGTGCTACAAGAAGTCGTGCTCTGCAGTCTTCAGGAGAGTGGTAGCGCACAGGACTTGAGCAAGATCGTGTTGCTGCACCAGGGGAAGTTCTTGACTGATGGAAGACAGACTCTGCATCAAGCCGGGCTGCAGGATACAGTCTGCGTCGTTCAAGCACTGCAGTGCCAGCGTTCTCTTATGGCTGCAGCATGTGACGACAGGCATGTCGCCTTGGTTGACGTGGAGACTCACTCGGCTATTCGCTCGTTCATGGCGCACTCGGAACCTGTCCTGTGCGTCGCATTCGCGCCTTCCGGAAGATTTCTGGCCAGTGGCTCGCAAGACTGCACGGTGCGCATTTGGGAAGTCAGCCAAAACATGCCTTGCATCAAGGTTTTGCAAGGCCATCAAGATGCTGTCGCATCAGTGGCTTTCACACCTGACGGAGACCGATTGTTGACTGCATCCTGGGACGATGATGCGAAGTTGTGGTGCTGGGAAGCCGGAGAGTGTGTTCTCACACTCTCAGGCCATGCCATGTCTGTCAATTCTGTGTCGCCCTCCTCGGATGGTCGGCTCATTGTGACAAGCTCCAATGATGAAACAGCAAGAGTTTGGTGCAGCGAGAGTGGCAACTGCTTGTTTGTGCTCACAGGTCATCGCCATTTTGTTGTTTCAGGCAAGTTCTCGCATGACTCGTGCATGGTATTGACGGCTTCACTTGACCGCACCGCCAAAGCATGGGATGCGACAGATGGCCACTGCTGCGTGACGTTTGCGGGTCACTCAAGCTTCGTGCAGTTTGCAGAGTACTCCTGGGATGGCAACTTGGTGGTTACTGCTTCTGAGGATGAGTCTGCCAAGGTTTGGAAGCTTAACGGGGAGTGCCTTTTTACTCTTTCCGGAGATTCTCGAAAGGCTTGCCTCATTCGTGCAACTTTCGGGCCTCAAGACCAAATCGTAGTTCTAGCCAGCTATGGGGGGCACATCCACTTCTGGCAGCCTGGAGAGGATCCGCGATTGCTTTCCACCACTACGCTTCGGCACAGATGCTTGAATGATGTTGCCTTCTTCTGGCCAGGGTCAGTGGCGGCTTGACCAGCTCAGCATAGCTCAGCATGCAAGGCTGCGGCACGTCACATTCCGTCGTCAGGTTGCGTCGCATGTCGGAGAAGAGGACGCAGGAGGGTGTCCCTCCAACGACAGTCCTGCAAAGCTACTTGCTATGACAAGAACTTTCAGAAAGTGATGCTACTTGAACTTGGCACTTGCCTCTGGAACTGGGAAAGCGGAGACAATCTCGCAAGTCCGGCATCCGTGGCTCCTTAGCTATCTTCGCCAAGACCACGTAGCCGGTGATTCTGGTCTCCGAGAGAGAGAACTTCAGTCTGGATCGACTTAAGATTCAGGCATACCAGTTGAGAGACGGCACGCCTGGACTGAAGCCGAGCCACTGATTATACAAGCCACCGATTCCTGCACAGAGTCTTCACGGTTTGCATATGTTTGCATTCTGTCCTGGCACCAAGACCAGACGTGCGATGCAAGGAAAACTGTGTCGAAGCCGCGTTGACCGAGACATGCGATATCCCCCAAAAGCATGCATGCCTATATATGTATATATATATATATATATGTACGCTCGTACATAGGTACCTACGTCCGTATACTTGAATTTGGTTTTCGAAAGTTGTCTTTCCTGCACTGTACGATAAACTCTGTTCTCTATTCTATAGTCTATACCAGACTGCGTAGGATACTAGACTATAGTCTCTGCTAGTCTCCGTACTCTATATGTTGTACTGTACTTAGCTACACGGCGCTTTTCTATACTACACTATACCAGATTTATTAGATTATACTATACTCTAGGGTACGACAATTATAGCACCATATAATGTAACCTAATACGACCTGACAGAGGTGCGTGTGCGCATATATTTTTATGGAATCAAGCCTCTCCGTTTCTTGCTCTATTTGTGTACATATGTGTTTACACACACACACACATACAAACAATTATATATATATAGATACAGAAAATATGTATGTGTTTATATGCAGATAGAATAGTCATGCATATATATATATATATATGTGTATGTGTGTGTAAATGTACATGCAGACAAACAAATCAACCAAGCACCAGTTTGTGAAGCCTTTGCTTACCAGGCAGCCGCCACCTCCCAGGGGAGCAGTTCCGAGCTCAGCCAAGCTTCGGTGTCACGCGTCCCACATATAAACCCTATGCCCCCGAAGCCTGGAGAAAGGACCCTAAAAAACCTCATGAGTTAGAAAAAACCGTCCTTAAGGCTTTGAGCTTTTCGTGCACCCGTGGGAAGCGAGACAAAGTTGCCGCTCTCAGCTTCTCTGGCAGTGCCTTGCCTGCATATGCCTGCATAGTTGAGGGTTTCAGGCTTAACACTGGCCCTGCATCGCAAGGCATGTCGGATGCCAATCTGGCAGCCTCCCAGTGGCTCGGAACGATGAGCTCACCTGCGGCCATCCAGGGTACCAACATGAAATGGGCATCTCCGACGGCAAGTATGAGATGATCTGTTGGAGTGTGAAGTTCGCGGTTGGCCGCTGACATGCTGTGGTCGTATACATCTTATGATGCATTCTACGGATCACAATGACTCTGCTTGCATGTGTACCTAAGTCTACACTGATGTATAACCAAGAGATTCGGGTTAATGTGCCCGCAAACTTTGAAGCTCCCCAGACTCTGAACCCTCGCCTGCTTGTCGAGTGCGAGTGCCAAAAATACGGACACAAATGCAGCCATGCAGCGCATGCATGCATACACAGAGACATAGAGAAAGAGCAGACAGAGGGACAGGTTGAAGCAGAGTTTTGAAACAGAGAGCAACAGAGAAACGGGTAGCCATCGACCGGGGGAGAGAGAAAGACGACGAGCAGCAAACAGAGAGGCAGGTGAAGACAGAGAGATTCTAGGGGTTTAGGGTTTAGCCCGAACTTCAGAGAGACCTCGTTCAAAAAAGGGTTCGGGCTAGAACGGCAGAAGCGGCCATTTTTGGCAGTCATCAAGTCCGGTTGTACAAGGCCTGATGCAGACGCAGCAGCGCAAACCCTCTGACCAAGCCTTTTTCAACCGACGACTCTGCAAGGTACGGGGTGAAAGCATTGGCTGCCGCCTCAGCGTGTTCAGCTGCAGAGAACCACCCTATCTGCATCTGCGAAGTTTTTGGGTATTGTTGGAAAATTGAAGAGCTTTGGATTGCACTACAGAGCTAGGTAGGGTTGAAGTCTGCAACTATGCTTGCTGTCTCCGTTACTGGAGCAGGCTTACAGTTCAGCGATTCATGTGCAAGCAAGTTCTGCTTGCTCGATGGCAGGTCGCGGCACGCTTGGAAACGTTTTCCAGGCTCTGGATCAGGAAACCGGATCACTCTTTGCCGTCAAGGAGGCTTGCAAGAGCGCTGAGGGTCATGGGCGATCAGATGTTCGGAGGTGTATTTTGTCCTACGAGTTCTTTTTTTCAGAATGCTGCATTGCTTTCTGATTTCACGCGCGGCCCGACGACCCTGTAAGTATGAGCAGTGAAGAGGATAAGCACACTACTCGGCAGTACTCGTAGTACTGACTGCAACTGCGGCAGAATACCGCCGCCGCCGCCACCACCACCACCACCACCACCACCACCACCGGCAGCAGCATCACCAACTACCAACCACCATCACCAGCAAGGTCCCAAACCCAGCCGCGCTCGATTTTGTTGTCAGAGCAGTGGTGCAGGTGTTGATCAACACGTCAGATGCTGCCGATCTTCAGTTCAAGCATGCGCTGGAGAATGAGATTCAGATCTGCTCAGCTCTGAAGCATCCAAGAGGCTTGGCTTGAAGAAGGGCCATGCAAAGGTGGCATCATTGCAGACCCTGCTCTTTCATGGCGCGTCCGACCTCTCGAAATTCTGAGGCATTGTCACATATCTGGGCCACGACTCGATCGCGGCATGCTCAGATCGAGCCCAGCTCGCGTCGGAGGATGCCTTGAGGAGCAGGTATTTGTTTTTCAAATGCCCCTTCCTAGACAGTGACCTGAGGCTGAGAGCCTCTATATCTACATGGAGTACATGATCGGTGGGTCGATGTCCAGCGTGCTGCATCAGTTCGGCGCCTTCGAGGAGCCAAGTGCAAGCGGACTCTTCAGCTGCGTGGGTTCAGATGGGAGTCTCGGACAACTCGGGGGACCTGAGTTTGGGGGTAGCTGTGAGGATCTGCATTTTTACTTGGTGCTATTTGCGATTCTACATACACGGTCTTCTGTTTTCTGAAGCTCTCAGATGGTTCAGCAAAGAGTCCTGCAAGAGCGCAGCAGGAGGGCTTGATCAGCAAGTACGCCCGAGATATGTTGGAAGGGCTGGACTACTTGCACACGCGAAGCCCGCCAGCATCCTTGCAGCACGAAGCTGGTTTGAAAGCCAAGATAGTCGGCCTCAGACTCGCCAGAACTATGCTGTGCGCATGCATGTGCTCCTTGTAGGTCCTGCATCGAGACATCAAGAGCGTCACCTGGCGGCATCGGTTCCCGATGCAAAGCTGCGGCATCAGCTTACATATGAAGCCCGAGAAAACTCTGGAGCCCAAGTAGTTGGCACACAGAAAAATAACCGGGAACCTTCGACTGCATGCTGTGTGCACAAGTTGCATGAAAGTGGCACGGCACTTGCAGTCGCTAGCAATGCTTTTACTTGTTGCTGATGAGCGTTGTAGTGCACACTCTGTTTCTGGTTGATGAGAACGACAGTGGTGGTCATCGTGATTCGTGATGATGGTTTTGGCGACAGCTGTTTTTGCTCGGGTCGGGTCCCCCGTTTTACTCCTGTTTTCCAGGCGAATGTCTTGATGGGGCAGAGCGCAGATGGCGGAGCACTCTGTCGGCACATTGCAGTTTAAGGTGTGGGGGTCGAGAACGACGAGTAAAGTCTGTTGACCTGTATAATCAGCTTTCCGAGGAGCTCTGTGCCAAGTTGGCAGACTTCGGCTGCTCAAAGAGGACTTGCAATCTTGTTTCTTTCAGACAGGGTTCGAGAGATTGTCACCATCACGAGACCCAACTTGGCGGGAGGAACGAGAGCACCCTTTCCCACACGCTGAAGGGCTCCATCCCGTGGATGGCACCCGAGGTGGATGTGAGCCGTTTAAAGCGTCAAGCTTACATTGTGCGTTTTCCTTGCATGGTGCAGGTCGTAAATAATGTCGGCATCTTGGCAGCATGTTGACATCCTCAGCATTGGGGAACAGAGCTACGACATCATGAGCCCAGACAAAGTCGATTCTATGCTACGCAACTTACAGTTTGGTTTCATGCTCATGGGGCTCAGGATATGGAAGGATGGCCGACATCTGGAGTTTCGGCTGCGTCATCATCGAAATGGGCACAGCTCAACTGCCCTGGCCGCGGCTTGCCTTGCACGAGATAACTGACTTCAACCTTCAAGCTCCTGCTAGAAGGGTTCATGTAGGGGCCTTAATAATTAGCATAGGGCTCTGGGCTCCTTGATAGTATAGTTATAACATGAGCTTCTGAAACCTACCGAGAGTCTGGACCCTCGCCTGCTTGTCGAGTGCGAGTGCCACAAATAGTTATAATAAGGAACCCTAAGGAATAATATTGGTGATCATTTAGGCTTCTATATTCGTGTTTGTGGTATTTGTGCTTGCAGGGGGTCAAGGTCCGGGCCCGGTGGTGACGATTGATCCAAGTCTAAAACTACGGAGCCCGACTTCCAGAAACCTCTAAAACTCCCACTGTCCCTAAACCCTAAACCCTGAGTGCGGACACTCATTGCCATGTCTGCAGTTGCGAGTGTGTGAGTCGAAACCCTGAGTGTGGCGTTACTGGTGATCCCTGGAGCCCGGCCCGGGTGTCTGGTGGTCTCAGGAAGATCAGTAGTGCCGATAGGATGTACTCGTACGACACAGGGCTGCTAGCTTCTCCTAGGGCGTTAGAGCCTTTGCCGACCCGGCCCAGCCCAGCTTGTCAAGCTGTGAGTGGATATCTTTCGACTCCGTGGTTGCAGAAACGGGTCAAATCAAGCAGCACAGTAGGCAACGAGCCTAAGCCCGACCAGCCCTGAGCAACGAATGCACAGAGCGCCAGCTGGGTCGTGAGAGCTGCGGCAATTGAAGCACACCCTAAAACCCTGAAACCCTGAAACCCTTTGCGATTCACTGGGGCCCTGGCATGTTTCCACAGCCTGGTAAGGACTTCTAGCTGTTCTGCGGTTGGAAAAGGGCCCGTTAAAAAAAAAAAACTAAACCCTAAACTCTAATAGATGTCGTCCTCTGGCAGGAAGTTCGACAACCCGATGGCTGCCATGACTCTCGGGCTGAACTTCCAAGCCTGCCTGTCTCTTTCTCGATCTCTCTCTTTCTCGCAACCCTAACTAAAGCAAAACGAAAATCCGAAACCTATGTTGCAGCTTCTTGCATGCGTTCCGGCTCGCAAGGACCCGGAAATACGGCTTCTCGAACAACTTACACCCTGCCTAGAACTGCTACAACCTATGCCTGTACGTCTTAATAGTACAATCCCAACATGCGTTTCTACACATGCCCACAATGAAGAAGGCAGGCTGTGGTAGTCAGAAGGGCAGCCTTAGCCTGAATGATGGATTGCTTACAGGTTTGAAACCTTTCATCCCCCGGATCTGAAGAGGACATTCTCCCTCTGAAATCCTAAACCCCTAAACCCTAAACCCAAAGCCCTGAAATCCTAAACCTACGCCTCCGGCACGGGGACCCTAACCTGCCAGCCCCGAGACCCGAAACCCTTCTGTAGAACTCTTAGCGTTGAGGGTTCAGGGTTAGGGTTTAGTGTTACCTCTTCCCTGGCCCGGAACCAAAGTCATTCGCTCCACTCCGCGGAGCTTTGAGCCCTTCTAGAAGCTCCAAGTCCCGGGCCCTATCCCGTTTTGAAGAACCCTGCAAGAAGTTCGGCTATAATGTTACTTGACCCATGCAGTTGCAAGAATAGGTTTTGTATGGTTTTGTACTTCACATGATGCAAAAGAGCCAACCCTAAACCCTAAACCCGCGATGCATGCGGGCGTACAGTCAGCCTGATTCGAATTTGCCTGTGAGACCTCTGTATCCTACTTCGCGACTCGTTCAGCCATGTAGGAGGCAAAAAAACCCTAAACCCCAAGAGAGGTATAAGATCGGCATGTCCAGCGAGACGCCTCGCTTGCCGACTACCTTCTCCCAGCGCTGCGTCGACTTCACTCAGCGGTGTCTGCAGCGCGAGCCCACGCAGAGGCCCAGGGCAATCTCGAGGCTTCGGGTTGCTTTGAGACAGGGACAGGGACAGGGACCTAAAGCTTTTGGGGGCTGCTCTATTAGGGGTTGGGGGTTTGAAGGTTTAGAGCTTCATTCTTGATGCTCATGCCCAGAACTTAGGACACTAGAATGCAGTGGGGCAGCACGGTTTTCTGGAAGGTCAGTCCTGCAACCTCAGCATGACGTATCATCCAGATGGGGACTTGGAGCTTTTATGTGTCCGAAACCTTTTGCCCGAAACCCTATAAGCCCCAATCAACGTCACACCCCTGAACACAAACCCGGACATACCTTGCGAGGGCTGGAGCAGCGGACTTGTTGCAACATCCCTTCGCGGCTTGGTTGCATCTTGGAAAACTTTGGGTTTGGGGTAGGGTTCAGAGGTTGACGGCTTGAGGGGGTTATGCTTTGTCGCATGGTTCAGAGCGGAAGTTTTGAGGCTTTGTTGGTGCGTGCATTTACATGCATTTACAGAGGCTACTCCTCCCCCGCTGCTGCAGAACTGCCATCTGAGTCATGAGCACGTCTTGGAAAGCCCTGGCTGGGATAGTCAGAGGATATTAGAGGTGAAGCAAGATAATGCGGGTCTGGATGGGAACTGCCGAAGTTTCTATACCTCTGCAATCAAGTGCCCCATGCGCAGGAACCGAAGATGTGAGTAAGGGTAAGGGTCTTGGCGACTGCATGGCAACAGAGATCTCAGGTGGTGGAGGCAGCGTCTGATGACGACTGATGCCACGGAACAAACCTCGCCGAAGCTACTTTCCAATGGCAGCAGAAATCTTGCGCCAACCCAACCAGCCCTCTTTGGCTGCTCTCACTGTCTATTGTTGATCTACCTAAATGGCTTGTTCTTGCAAGAGGCCATTGGATTAACTTCTTGACAATCTTGATACCCGTAAGTACTGTTTACCGCTTCCAGGGCTGCCGAGTTCCCATATTGTGCTGCAATAGAGACCTTCGTGTTGCAAGTGAAGTCTCTTCTGTATTTAGTATATCATGCAGGTATGCTTAAGTATGCCTGTGTTCAGGTATTGCAGTGATGAAATCTTACGCTTGCCAACCTGGTGGGCCTCGTAGCCTGTTGCCGGATCCCACTGCAACAGCAGAGCCGCGCCATCAGCCTGCAGCACACTTAGCGTCTCACATGGGCAGCGATGCTGCCATTAGTTTAGGCCCCCTAGATTCTTAAAAATGCTGGACAGCCGCGAAGGCGGTCTCTCCGGCTTCCCCTTTGAGGATTGTGCTGACATGGGCCGATTATCGCGTAGCGCCTGGGCACCAGGGCGTGGGTTGCGTTGGGGAACCTGAACGCAATCACGCACACAGCGCTCTCCTCGTTGCGACTTAATATGCCAGGGGGAAGGAAAAAGGGTGTTGGTCGTGAACAGGACCGTGTCTCCTCTGGTCAACGACTTGGGCATCCTATAGTGACTTGAAATGTTGATTGAAATTAATTTTTGATTCACAAATCATACGGCGTACGATTGCGATCAGCCCTGGGCAAACCTGCATGTCATGTGGCGCCAGACAGGAGCTTCTGTTTCCGAACCCTGCCACGTTCGCGAAGCCGGCAGCGCAAGCACGAAGCCTGTCCAGGACACACTGGTTTGAGTCACGCACGTAATCGCACGCTAGTAGTTCGCGGAGTTATCGAGTTCAAGAAGACGGAGTTGCCTAAAGCCTGGCATCCCCCCACCTGTTAGCAATGCGCATTGCAACCATGATTGATGTTCGCACCTGACGTCGGTTTTTTCAAGCATCAACCTCACTCGTCACAGGACATCCTACCCTATGACTGGCGCAAGATCTGTGTCGTCTCCCAACTTACTAGGCCGGGCTTTTCGCATGGGATGGCTGGTCTGTCCCGCAGTCACCGAGCCGAATGCGCAATGCGCAAAAAAATGGCACTCCGGCAGGTAGCTCACATGCACAAGGCGTGCGGCACTTAATGGACCAGGCTCTCGCAAGAGTTTTGTGTGGAGTCGCCTGTTGCAGGGAACTGCTTCGCCGAACAGAGTCCATCACAACTTGAAACGGAACCAACCTGGACTGTAGTGTGACATGTTACAACGCCACCAAAGAATGCGGTTATCTTGTGATGGTATGGTATTGATGGTGCTGGTGCGTAGCCTTCTTCGCACCGAGGAGAAGGAGTCCTCGAAGTCTGTGAAGGCGTCGCGGCCTTGGCAGACTCTGAGTGCCATCCACCGCCCCTTTCGGGGGGCGGGGGGCGAATGTAGACTCATACTGAGGTCGCCAGGAAGACCACAATGGCAACAACAACAGAAGCAGTGCTTTGTGCGTCAACGCAATGCACCTCCGGATTTGGTGCTGCGAGTAGGACCTTGATGATGTTGAGAAGGGGTATCGACATGTATCGAAGGTCTACACAGAAATCACAGACGCTGCTGGTGCTGCGCAGCAAAAGCAGCTCGAACAATGTCAACAACACCAATGCCAATACACTTAACCAGAGCAATGACAACATCATGGTTATTTTGCCCCCATGTCACGCATGAAAGCTTTCGCCGCTGTGCGTCCGAGTACATGTCTGCTGGCATTACTGTATTGTCAGCAAGTATCACGACGATTATGGCTATTCCGACAATTACTTGTTGTTTCCTTGCTCAGGACGCAGTTGTTGGTATTTACGTTGCATGCTGTGATTCTTGAGTTCGGCTTAATTAAGCCTTGCTGGTCGGCATTCCCAAAAGCCGCAACTTCCCTCAAGATGCACCCATCTGCCGCGCTGCGCCAAGGCCTCAGAGCCTGCTGTCCCTTGTCACGGTCGAGGGAAACCGGAGGCCCTCCATCCTCCGCCGGAGATCGCCGTGGGCTTAGGTCTTTGGTGTAAGGTCCCCCGGATGTAAAGTTGAGGGTCTCCGGGCTTGCAGTTGCGCTCAGCAGAGCCTGTGAGCTTTCTGAGACTCTGGCATGGAAACACTTGTTGAAAGTGGCGAGAGAATCACGCGCAATCAAGAGCGCTCAAGGAGGCCCGGCCGGGCCGCAGTGAGCCTCCGTTAGGAGCATCAAGGACCACAGGCGTAGGTGTGGCATTGATGATGATCCTTATATGCCTGCACCACGCATGGTCATACTCAAGCTACTCCAATCGCTTCCAAATGTGTGGGCCCGCAGTAGTCCGCTGCTCCGTCCTGAGGTCTTGGGGTGCACGGCCCATGCTGGCTGATGCCATGTCGAAGATGCAGATGCACCCTGGTATGTAGCGCGCGCGGTCGCTGGAGAAGCGAAACTCGCCGCCAAGCGAATGCTGAGTATTGCCCAGCTGCGCGGAGCGCTCTGAGCACGGGCTTCGTCCGACCTTGCAAAGCGAATGATTCAAAGTGGCCTTGATGCTATGTGTAGTTTGAGTTTGCAGTGCGTTGGCAAAGGTTCACACCAGGTCAAGACCCCGTCCAGCCACTCAGACGACCAAGGCCACCATTTTTAAGCGAGAGAACTTCCGTGAAGTCGGCGACCATCATGGGCTGCCATGGGGCCATGAGGTCCATCCTGGCTTAAGACATGCAGCGAGATCCTGTCTCGACTCTGTCTCTTAAGTCAGATGCTCTTTGGACTAAAGTCCTCTTTAAGATGCCTTTGTCGATCGCATATCGTTCATCTGCCCGCGGGAAGGGCAATTTCCTATGCGTTGCTGCAACACTTCGCGCCCATCTTTTTGAAGGCGCCGGAACGAGTGTTTTTCCATCAGGCCCTCTTCCTCAAAACTGACTCGAATACTAAAACTACTAGACACACAACGAAACTTAAAACTGTCGATAATAAAAATCAATGTCGAGACATACGTACCATCAGGCCCGAAAGCCGAGACTCACTGACCAAGTCAGTCTGAGATCTTGAGCGTGAGGCTGGGTCGGCAGGTAGACCCCCACCCCACCAGCAAAGCCGAGGAAGGCAAGGGCTTCGCATGACATAGACGATGGCGGGGCATCGTGGCAAAGTTTGAGTTATATACTGCCCTCACCTTCTTCGACGTTGACCAGCATTCTGGAAATAGCCAGGTGTCTTTCCGAGCCATTTGTTCCAGCCCAGACGCGTCATGCCTCGCGACGGCAGGATGTAAAGATAATCCCGTTTCTGTCCTGCTGATGCAGATGACATCATTACTTTGAAAGTAGCGCAGCAGTAGCAGTCCTCGAGGCATGTTGCAGGCCGGGCCATTGGCATCGAGTTATTTTCGGGGGCACTCAACTACGGAGTGCGCACTGTAGGCCGTTTTTCGTGTGCCTTCAATTAACCACATGGTGAGCTGGAGGCTATGCCACGCCACTTTTGCATCCGCTTTAGTTACTTTAATTGTTCATGAACAAATAATGATTAGAGAGAGTTTAGATGAGATGAGCTGATGTATTCATTCATTAAAGTTAAATGTTTGCTGACCCCGCCGCCCCGTGTACTACCGCCAGGCCTACCATCCATACATATGTATATATACACACATGTACGCAAGACATATACATAGAGAGAGAGGTAGATATAGGAAGACATAGACAGATAGATATACATACCCACACACACACATCGCACTTTTTGTGCATGTACATTTGTTTTCGTTATCATATCTTTGCTCATATGAAAAGCAATAAGTACAGACATAGATATCTGCAGGCAGACAGAAAGTATGCACAGACATATGTATAGAGATCTAAAAATCTGTCTCTCTGTCGGTCTGTCTGCCTGCCTGTCTGTGTATCAGTGTATCAGCGTATGCGTCTGCGAGTAAGTATGTATGTATGTGTATGTCAATGTGTATGAGTGTAACTCAAATTCCAAAAATTGTCGAGGCCACTGTAGCGCTTGTCCAGCCTGAGAAAGCTCACCATCGACCCCCTGAAGACTACGACAGACCTGCACATCCTGCGCAAAGAAGACTGCCGGTGCCTTGCTGCCGGCCGATTTGGGTGTGTGTGCGTGTGCAGGTTTAGCCAGTGTGGCTTGCATGGGGTATAGGGATGTCGGGAGCTGCATAGACTCTGTGCCAGTTTGCTGCCAGGGCAACGAGTGGCCCCCCACCAAGCCACTCACCCGCTACGAGCAAAGCTAATTGACCGAATTCCCAGGAACACGCTGCTTGGCTTCGTGAGCAAGAGGCACGATGGCTGCTCCCCCCTTGAGTGAGTGCTGAAACCCAAGACTAAGACAAAAACCCTGAACCACAAGACTATGACATTTCGACTGGAAGCTCTTTGTGCCTGATAAGAGGCTGCTGCTGCCACGGAGAGGCGCCCTTGAGTGCTGTGCAGCAGAGAAAGTCGGAGGTTTGGCGCAATCCTGATCGTCATATGCATCCGAAGCATCACGCATTTCCTGACAAGCATGGTCACCGTTGTGAAGATGAGGCCTCTATGCCACAAAAGTGTTGAATGAGTGCATGCAGCGCTTGCTTCTTGCCTTTTCGCGCGCTAATGATAGCGACAGACCCTGTGTTCGCAGCACGCGCATGTCTTAGCGCGTGTGCAAATTTCAGAAGACACCTTTACTGCTCGAGTTGCGCATTCCGCTCAGGATCATCCCGTCGGCACCGCCTTCGGCAAGCGAGTCTGAAAGTTGCAGCCCCGCTGCAGCTGCATGAACTCAAGTCTGCCAACTTTGCCGTCGAGGATAAGCATGCACATCCAATATATCCACCAACTTGTTGACCACCATGCGGACGGTGTTTTTCATGATGCAGAATGAAGATGTGAACTACTTGTCTTCGTTCATGCACAGATGCACCGTAATATAGGGGCCTTGATAATTAGAATAGAGTTTGGGTATATGATACTATAGTTATCATGCGGAGCCACCTGAAACCTTATTCTATTCATTATGGCCCCATATATAATTATGGTATAATATTCCCCAAAACCCTATTCTAACTATATCTAATCACACTATATCTTAGCTTTCTTCGGCTGGCCGTAGCCTCAGGTCCAGGGGTCGCCTTCGATCGCAGTCAAGGCGTGCTCCACTTTCCTGTGTTTCTATGAGTTTAGGGCTATTCGGGTTTAGGGTTTAGGGGCATACTCATATTGAGTTTAGGGCTGTTAGGGTCATCCATTGATTGGCCTCAAGTGGCAGCGTTCGGTGCAGGGCCTACATGTCAGATCGTGTGGGAGTGGAAGACCCTAGGCCCTCGCCCGTTGCATGATACTCGTACAACCTTGTCGTCATGAAGACGGGGATCGCAGGAGGTTTAGGGTTGAGGGGTTTAGGATTTAGGGACCACCTGCCTCCAAGAGGACTGGAGTCTTGTTTGGCCCATGTGTTCGCATGTGCTGATTTTTCTAGGCGGACAAGCTCAGCAACTGATGACTATGCAGCGCTGTCATTTTTTCCAAGACAGACTCTGAGTCAACTAGCATCAGAAACCATCCAGCACTTTCTTTTCTAGAATTACTAAGATTGCTGTTACTATTCGTCTTACTATTAATTACTATTATTACTACTACTACTA